GAACTTATTATCACCCAAACCCTAATATGTTATCTCTGAGGGAAGTAGCAAACAGGGAGATTGGTGAAGGAGTTGTTCAAGTACATGCTTCCTTTTCCTAAGACCCTAGCAAATTCATAGAGGGTTGTAATCACTTGACATTGATTTATAACTTAACTTGGAATGATTTACAAATTGCTCTCTCCCACTGCTGTACTGTAGATGAAAAGCAGCGCATAATAGGAGCTGCAAGGGCCTATGCTGATGAATTAACTGGTTGTCATGCTCAACATCACATACCAACCAAGGGGAGATGCAATTCCAGATCAGGACACTAACTGGGTCTATAAAACTGGGACAGATGAAGGATGAGAGGAAAGGGACCACTGGACCCATATGGTTACTTATCTCATAGAAGAGATAAAAAATGTACTATTAAGCCTGTTAATTATGACAACATAAAAACGGTTATTCTAAGAAAGAATGAAAACCTTTCCCTTTTTCGGGAGTGATTAACAAAAGCTTTACAAAAGTACACAAACCTCAACCACAAATATGTTGAGGGCAAAGCATCTGAGGATGGGTTTTATCCAGCAGGCAGCCCCAGACATTAGGAAAAAGTTAGAAAAACTAGCCTTGGGACCCCAGATCCCCCACTGAGTAACTGGTAGAAATAGCTTTCAATTTTTTTAACAACTAAGGGCAAAGAAAGAGCAAAAAGACCACCCTGCAGACAAGGACACTGGAAAAGGAATGCCCTGTGAAGGGGCCTCCTCAAAAATCATGCTAGTGTGACCACTAAAAGATGGACTGTTCTGGGAGCTGGAGGATCTCCAGACAAGAACCTACCCACACGATGGCTTCGAACTGAAGGGGCCCTATGTTCCAGTTAGCTCCTACTAAGAACATCAAAATTGAATTGACAGAGCCTTGGGTGACCCTTAATGTGACAGGTAAGTCCATTACATTTCTATTAGATACAGGGGCTGCTTGCTCTGCTCTGACTCACTCACTGGGGCCTCTTTCTTCCCAAATCTGTGTGATCACTGGGGTGTGCAGAAAGCCACCCATTGTCTTCACTAGCAGAGAAGTGTAAACAAGGATCCCGGAACACTGGTGAACCTTGAACCCATGGCAAGGGCCAGAGTTATGCACCAATTGTCTAGTCCTAACAATGGGAGCTCAAGCTATTTCCTGATCAAATAGTCTCAGGGTATATCCTTCTAATATTTACTGACCTTTAAGATAGCCTGTCTGTTATTGCAATTAGCTGCCTGACTAAGGGCTTTATGTATATCCAAAGTTGAATAAAAGGTTGGCGAGGCCTGAGCACCAGTGGAAGTCCTTCCCCTTGAGTTGGGCTTGCCCGCCTGGCCCCCCAATATTTCCAAATTATCTCTTGTCTCGTCTCTTTCATTTGTGTGTGGCCCCTCCTCCAGATCCTGAACCCTGAACCACGCGGGACGTGGGGGAACTCATACACAGTAGTGGACGAGTATCCTCAGCAATCCCACTTCACTCTACCCTTAGGCTGCAGCCTTGGGAATCTCACTTTTAATTATGCCTTTCTTATAGATCAGGATGCTTCATTCCCTTATTAGAGAAGGGCATCTTGTCTAATATAAGCTTCTGGGTAATTAAAACTGTCAACAAGGCTAAGGTAACTGAAGGAAATTTTGTTAAAGTGAGTCTTTTAAAATATTCTATATCCTCCTCCTGGAGGTCCAGGAGCTGCTGGGGCCCTGAGAACAATGGGGAATTAATACCACCCCCAAACCCTGTGCAGGCTGGGGAAGCAGCAGAGGCAACTTTTTCTCCCATCTCAATGTGAAAGGGAAAATGGTACTTTAAAACCGAAGCCACTGAAATACCCAAGCCAAATATTTCCCCTTGTCTCTTCTCCAGCCTCCTAAAAGTGGTCAAGGACACCAAAGGAATGATTCATGTTATCTCTGTTATGCCTCTTAAAAATGTGAATGTATTTGCCAATTAAAAAACGATTTCTGAAAGTTATTAAAAGTATTGCTTTTAGTTGTCACTAAAAATTAAGGTTTCTAAGAATTAAGAATTCTAGGGAGAAACTAAGATGGCGGCAGAGATAAACACCGGGAAGTTAATGCCGCTCACAACAATTGATTAATACCTCAGAGAAACAACACGGACTTCATCCAGAACCACAGGAAGCCTGGCTGACTGTAAACTCTACAACTAGAAGGAAGGCAAGACACACTGAGACCCGCAGAAGCTGCAGGAGAGCAGGGCAGAGGTGCGGGGCGCTCG